TTAAACACTGGAATGAATTGCCTAGGGAGGTTGTGGAATCTCCATCTCTGGAGATATTTAAGAGTAGGTTAGATAAATGTCTATCAGGGATGGTCTAGACAGTATTTGGTCCTGCCATGCGGGCAGGGGACTGGACTCGATGACCTCTCGAGGTCCCTTCCAGTCCTAGAATCTATGAATCTATGAATAATGTTTATACAAACTGTACTATCACTCCAGAACAAATGAATGAGGCAGAATTCTTTCCGAGCTGCGTGATCAATGTAAGAAAGACTGGGGTTTAAATGCAGTCATTAGAAGTTACTGAGTTAATGAAGGAATTGCTTAGTTTGTTTAATAGATATATCCACATTTTATATAGCTTAGCAGAGTTACAACAGAAGAAAGAAAATGTGTGGGAACAGCATTATCAGCAAGAATGTGTTACAGACAGCATTACTTAAGCCAAAGGACAGATATTTTAAATGAAATGGGACATATATTTAATCTGAAATGTGATGTAATTTGATTTGTAAATGTTTTATTGTTATTTACATTTATAATATAGCACTTTGTAAGGTTTGTATTCCGTTCACCCAAGTAAAAATATCTTTGTAATATTAACTGAACAATCTAAAATACAATGAACAAAGTTCCTGTGGTGGGGAATACAGCTTCTCACACAGACCTCAGATCCCAGCAGCACCTAAACAATTCAATCCAGCCCATCCACATATCAGCAAAAAATGATACAAAAGGAACAGTCATCATGGGAAAAACCCCTCAGAATTCATGAAGAATAATAAACATACTTCAACCCACCAAGAGGCTACGGAGCTCTCTCTCAGGGTGCAGCAGACCTGCCATATTAGACTGCTCAAAGACCAAGCTTTCATAGCAGAGATACAGCCTGCAAAGGCACACTACAGTTTGCCATCATTCCACAACTGTACTGACTGTATAATATGCAATTCCTAGCCATGCACTATATTCCCTATTCCGTATATTCCCACATGGATTTGGAGAGCTCTCCACTGCAATATCAGCAATTTCCAGTTGCTTTCCGCTATACTACACTTTTCTATTAGGGAGACGGGGCCTATGGTGGCGAGGGTTGGCAGAAGATGCCACAGTTAGCTAAAACCTCTTAAAGGCTGAGATTCATGGGAAAACTAACCAAATCTCATCTCTAAGGCCTCTCCATCACTCCACCCTGCGCAAACACAAGCAGCATAGCTGGCCTCATTGCTGTCATGTCACCAGCTCCAACCCTGTCCATCTACCCTAAGCCCACCCTGCATGTAGCCCCTCTGAGCTGGCTAACATTGCACAGGGAGACGGGGGATTCTAAATGGAGCACCAGTAATTTACACAGCATGATGCAATTCAACACAGAACATCTATTTTCCCCCTCCAGCCAAGGCTGCTGCCCCCTTCCCTCCTCCAAATGCAGGGGAAAACATAGCGAGTGGCTGACTTTTCTTTCCATGTGGCTTACCGCATTATTTTGCTTCACTCAATAGAAGGGCAGATATGGCCGAAGGAAGGCAGAGTGCATAACTAGTACCTTTCACTAATGAAGTGTTCCTAGACAGCTGGTGTTACCCGTGGGCCACAAATTCTCCCTCTCTCGAGGGTGCCACATTCCCAGAAGAGGGCAGCACTTTATGTTAAAAGCCATGATAGAACCCACAGTGCTGAAAATTTGCTAGAGAACAGATTTCCCTGCTCAGTCACACAAGAGCTGTAGGGTAGATTTATTACTGATAACGGGGTAACTCATCAAGCATATTAGAGATAATGTTCTTATGCCTAGAACGTTTTGGCCATTGCTTGAAGCCACTGGTATCAAACTTCCTTGATTCTCATAAGCCAGTAAAACACACATTAGGCAGTGTGAAGAATACTAAAGATGGCCTTTTATTATCTGGGTTATTCAGCTAAGCATATGTGTTCACAGCATCTTTTCAGCACTGCTGGAGATGTAACAGATAACAGAACATCTTTACTACCTGAGAACATGGAGCAACTTACCTTCACAAATCCTAACAGGTTTCAGTGCTCCTTTGAAAGAGGTTCAGGGGCCAGGACAGGGAGACCTTGGAGAGGAATGATACTTTGATTTACTTGGGTAACTTTTTTTTTTTTTGACAGTGTGCGTAACACCCATAGACTCTTATAGCCCTTACTTAGAGTTACATTGGCAGTAGCTAGAATGTTTTGAGAATCAAGGAAGTTTTGCCCAGTATGTTTTACTTAGAGCTACGGCAACTGTATTTATTTTTTTGAATATCATTCCTATCATAGCCAAAAGTTTAGGTTCTGTAAATTCCTTATTCTTGGTGATGAACCATAGGACTTTATCTTGGCTCTCCTGCCCCTAGAAGCAAGCCATTACTCATCAAAATTATGTACTCTAGTCCCTGTATACAAGGGATTTGTCTTCTCTGACTCTACTATATGCAGTGTGCCTACTGGCAACAAGCAATTATCTCGATGAATGAAAGTCTCTAGATAAAAGTGAAGTCACATTTGAAAGCTACATTTGTGGGCACAGGGGGAGGCTGCATGGAGTATTTTCCAGAAGCCAGATTAGGGTACAGGTGGCATAAGGTTACATTCAAGAATATTGCTCTTTGTGTTACAGAACTTACCTAAAATTTGGCATGATTTTCCAAACGACATAAAATAAAGATTCTGGGCTAAATGCAGTTTGGCTCCCTTGCCATAAAGCACAAAGCGTCTTTCTAAACTCTTCAACCAATGAACTGGGGAGAGAAAGTAAAAATGAATTAGTGTGGATTCATACTCTAATCTACATTTTCAGGACTTCAGTGGTACGAATGTCAAAGAATTTCCTTTGATAAAAATGGTTCACTTGGTAAATCATTTCAGCTTCTTATACAAGGACATATTCCAAGTCCCTACAAATTTTAGGATCTAAATCTAATCCACAAAACTGAAGGGGTAGAGAAGACAGACTAGCAACATTGTGAAATCACCGCTGTTAAGGATGGAAGTGGGACAGATTTTCTATCTAAGTTTTCATCAATGTAGTATCTAAGCACCTCTAAAATTGTACCTGTAAATCTTGTGCGCACAATTATTTGCATGTTGGTGAAGATTCAGTCCACTTGTTCACCTTAAAATTCTCTCAGGATTGTTGCCTATACTATAATTTAGTGCTAAAATAAACCAAGCCCAAAACTACCCACCTCTGGTACTCTAGCAGACATTTTTTCTCATCTCCCACAACTCAATACAGTATTTATTATTCTTGTTTAAGGTACTTCAGCCAATTTTTTAAAATCCAAGCTTCTGTGCTAATTTTCGAGCACATTGGAAAGAGTTTTTCGAGTAAGATTAAGAAGCACTAGGTGACACCTAGTCCAGTTAAGTTAATAGTTCCAGCATTAAATATATTTAACCTCACTCCAGCACTGTTTGATGGATGCTAGTCTTCTCTCCTGTGACAGCTACAAGAACACAGTGGAAATTATGTAAACATCTCCACTTGTACAATACACCCATATAGCACCTGGCACTACCTCTTTCAGTTTCTACTGCTACTTCTTGAAGTTCAGTGCTAGCAAGAACTTACACGTTGTTATCCCCTTGGCTCCTGGTATGGTAAGTTCGCCTGCCAGCTGTTTTCCCATTCCGCAACTCCACGGCTGGCAACTCTTTGAAGTAACAGCAAAACTGCTGAATGTTACTGTAGGAAAAAGAAATGAGAGTGAGAAACGTATAGAATAGATAATAGGAAGGATACGTGTGTGCTTTGCACAGTATTCTTTGGAGATGCTCACTTGGCTTCTTAAACTAGTTCTTATAACACTGAATAGGTCAAGTTTCCCATCAAGAGAACTAGTCAAGTTGCATCTAGTGTTACAATATAATTATCTACTCAGCACATGTACAGTGGGCACCACTAAATGGCATTCACCGGCCCAGTTACCTGCAACAATTATATCTTTTCTCTCTTCTGATTAGGAGATACCAAGGTTCCATAATTACTGAGTGTTGAGTTCTTACATCATGCTCACTGTAAACAAATCCATGTCTATAAGTGGCATTAATATTAATGTATCAGTAGACTTTAATATAGTTCATACCATCTAGAAAGAACTTAAAGCATTAGAAACTGATTTACAGACTACATATAAAAATCATTTCCCCATCACTGTTATGCCACCATACCTCAGTGAAACATAAAAGTTGTAATTACACAGTACAGTCATAATACTTAACAGTTAAGGGCAGGAATTGCATACAGCAATATAGTATCTAGCTGGAACTACAGAGGGATAGGGAAGGTAGATGGATGGCAAGTACCAAGATCATTAGAAGGGTGAAACAGTAGGTCTGACATGATTAAAAAGACCAGGGCCCGATCCTCAGCTGGTTTAAATCTGAGTATTTCCAATGTAATCAACAGAGCTATGCCAATTTAAACTAGCTGAGAATTTGGCCTTGGTTTTCAGAAAGAGGCCAGCAATCTACTTGCCGAAGAGTACGCATGACTTCTGCCAGTGCACATGTAATTGCATGCTCAGATGTAGGTACCCAACTGTCTCTCTACCCAGTGAGAATTTGGCCCTGAGGATGCACCATCTGATGCATTTTTACTGTGAATATGTGAATAATATGAATATGCAAAATACTTGTACAAAGTTAAATTTTGAAGTTACTTTTTGTGAGCAATACAATGATGATTCAATTACACGCGTTAACTTTGGGATGAGGAGGGCAGGGGCTGCTGCTGTTACACAGAAGAGCGTGCACTTATGGGGTGAAGGAAGGGTCCCTAAGGTCACAAAGATTTCCGTGAAGCTCTCAGCCAGGCTGCATGACATTTTCTAACTTGCATTTTAAATAGATTCACTAGTACATTAAAGGGGGAGGGGAGCAAGAGGATGACATAATGGAGACCAAGCACAACTCCACAATAGGCCCAGTCTCCAAAGGCCTGGACAACAAGGGTCAAGAATCGGGTTTGCCTGTCTGGTCAGAGTTCCAGTGGCACCATGCCACTAGAGCACCTACAAATCTGTTAGTGAGAAACCAGGCCCAGTAACCAGACACTCAAATTATATTACCATTTCCCAGTGATAACCTATCCCCTCTCTGGAGACACTGCATCCCTCCGAACACAGACAATCCCTTCAATGCAGATGCCCTAACTGATCCCTCACCCACAAAGGGCGTCATGTCAGACCCACTACCCTTCAAGCTAAACATCTAGGGGCTTCCTCTGAACATCATTGCTACTCCTGAATCAATCACTGGGATCACTTTGGAAAGCTCCTCCCTCCTCCTGGAAAACAGAGGATGTTGCCAAGGCAGCACCCTCCATTCCGACAGGTCTATAGGGCAAGAGTGAGGAAGCGAAGTCGCTGGCCTTTCTTGCCTAGCACTGAAGAACAGATACCACCAAATCAACCTCCAGCCCAGGGTGGGAATTTGATTTGATGATTGCATATAAAACATGATGGATACCTGAGAGACTGAAGAATCGCATTCATGAAACACGTGTTCCCCAGATTGCGAAGGCCTGTAGCACAAAGGGCATTGGTGCTCCCCTGGGAACCAGAAGAAAGAGTAAGTCAAAAGAGACAGACAGCTACCCCCAAAGCACACAACAGTCACCTGTGCAGCAGTGTACATTCAAATAGAACTAACGACAGACTGTTTGAGCCAGCTGGGAGCCAAGCCTACAACATGACTAGCTCAAAGGATCTAAAAAGGTATTTAACTATCTACACAGGTATTAAAGGGGTACCTTAATTGGACTGAAAAATTCCCTTTTTTACCATCTAAATAAACCTTCAGAGAACATTTGGGAATCTTCATTGTTTTGAGAGAATGTTTTACTTACTCTTTATAACAATCCACTCTAGGCTGTTGGGTGGATTTTTCAAGAGCATCTGAGGATATGTCTACACTATGAAATTAGGTCGATTTTATAGAAGTCAATTTTTAGAAAATCGATTTTATACAGTCGATTGCATATGTCCACACTAAGCACATTAAGTCGGCGGAGTGCGTCCTCACTACCGTGGCTAGCATCGACTTACGAAGCGGTGCACTGTGGGTAGCTATCCCACGGTTCCCGCAGTCTCCGCCACCCATTGAAATTCTGGGTTAAGCTCCCAATGCCTGATGGGGCAAAAACATTGTCGCGGGTGGTTTTGGGTACATGTCATCAGTCGCCCCTCCCTCTGTAAAAGCAACGTCAGACAATCATTTTGCGCCAGACACCAGGGTGATTAGAAGAGCACAGCAGGGCGCACTGCGCATCAGAGAGGCTTTGAAAACCAGTTTCATGACTGCCAAGCTTCGGCGTGACAGTTGTGTGTGTTTCTTCTTGATGCAAACCCACCCCCTTTGTTAATTTTAATTCCCTGTAAGCTAACCACCCTCCCCCCTTTGAAATAAAGTAACTATTATTTTGAAACCATGCATTCTTTCTTTATTAATTAAAAAAAAAAAAAAGAGAGAGAGATAACGGACAAGGTAGCCCAGGTGGAGTGGGGGAGGAGGGAAGGACAAGGCCACATTGCTTATTGTGGCCACACTAAAAATCAAACTGTTTGAATGACAGCCTTCTGTTGCTTGGGCCATCCTCTGGAGTGGAGTGGCTGGGTGCCCGGAGCCTCTCCACCCCCTCACCCTCCACGTGTTCTTGGGCATCTGGGTGAGGAGGATATGGGGAGGAGGGTAGGCGGTTATACAGTGGATGCAGTGGGGGTCCGTGCTCTTGTTGGCTTTCCTGCAGCTCCAACAGATGCTTCATCATGTCAGTTTGCTCCCCCATTAGCCTCAGCATCGCGTCCTGCCTCCGCTCTTCGCGCTCACTTAATTCTTTCCTGGCCTCTGCCACTGAATGCTTCCATGCATTAAGCTGTGGTCTATCAGTGTGGGAGGACTGCATGAGCTCGAAAAACATGTCATCACGAGTGCGGTTTTTTTCGCCTTCTAATCTACCATAACCAGTGGTGAGCTGCAGCTGGTTCCCACCAGTTCGTGGGAACCAGTTGTTAAATGTAGAAGCCCTTTTAGAACCGGAACCGGTTCTAAAAGGGCTTTTAAATTTAACAAAAGCTCCAGCAGCTCCCTGCCCTGCCCTGCCCCCGGCCCCAGCTCACCTGGCTCCGGCTCCGCCTCCTCCCCTGAAGGTTCCCCCTCCCGGCTTCCCACGAATCAGCTGTTAGCGTGGGAAGCCTGGGAGGGCTGAGAAGGAAGCAGCAGTTTCCTGCAGGTGAGCTGGGGCGGGGGGCGCGAGGAGGGCTCCAGGCGCCATGTGGCTCTGGGCGGCACCGGCCCTAACTCCGATTCCGACTCTGGCCGAGCAGCCTGGCTCCGGCCCGGCCCCCAACTCAGGCCCCAATTCCAGGCCAACTCCCAACCCCAACTTCGGGCTGGCCCCCGGCGCCGGCCCCTGTCTTCAGGCTAGCCAGCGGCTCCGGGCTGGCCCGCGGCTCCAGCCCCCGGCTTCGCCCCGGCCCAGCCCCAACTCTGGGCTGGCTCCGGCCTGGCCCCCGGCTCTGGGCCGGGCCCCGACTCCGGGACGGCCAGCGGCGCCGGTCCAACTCCGGCCCGGTGCCCACAGCTCCCGGCACCGACTCCGGGTAGCACGGCCCCCATCTCCAGGCAGCGCGGTAAGGGGGGCAGGAAGCAGGGAGGGAGTGTTGGATAGAGGGCGGGGGGGTGGATTAGGGTCGGGACTCAGGGCCGTCAGAGGGTAGGGGAATTGAATGGGGGCAAGGGTCCTGGGGGGGCAGTCAGGAAGGAGCAGGGGTGTTGGATGGGGCGGTGGGGGGCAGTCAGGGGCAGGGGTTCCGGAGGTAGTCAGGGGACAGGGAGAAGGGGTGGTTGGATGAGGCAGAGGTTCCATGGGGGCCATCAGGCATGAGAGGAGGGGTTGGATGGGGCAGCAGGGGGCAGTTAGGGGACAGGGAAGGGGGTTGGATGGGGCAGGAGTCCCGGGCGGTGGGGGGAGGGCACAACCCCCTCGTGGGGTGAGGAGGAGGGAACCGGTTGTTAATATTTTGGCAGCTCATCACTGGCTATAACCTCAGGGACTGAGATGATAGGGGGAGTGTAGAAACATTCTATGCTCTACGATTCTGGGGGGACTGCATGGTCACCTGTGCTGCTAAGTTTGCCATGCTGACCAAACAGGAAATTAAATTCAAAAGTTCCCAGCGCTTTTCCTGTGTACCTGGCTAGTGCATCGGAGTTCAAAATGCTGTCCAAAGCAGTCACAATGGAGCACTCTGAGATAGCTCCCAGAGGCCAATACCATCGATTTGCGTCCGCACTACCCCAAATTCGACCCAGCAAAATCGATTTTAGCGCTACTCCCCTTGCTGGGGAGGAGTACAGAAATCGAATTTAAGAGCCCTTTAGGGTTGACGGAACGGGGTTGGTTGTGTGGACGCATTCATTTTTAAATCGACTTGACGCGGCTAAATTTGACCTAATCCCTTTGTGTAGACCAGGCCTGAGTTAGGTACCCAATTCCCAACGCTTTCCAATGGGAGCTGCATTCCAATCTCCCTGAGGCACTATTGAAAATCATCTCACCCTGAAAATGAGATCTAATTCCTTGCCAATTACACATTGACTCCCCCACCATCATGTGGTATGGGTTGCTCTTTTAGGACTCCTTATGAGACCTCAGCACCGGGCTGCTGGCTTTTTGTTTTGAAGAAAAATAAACAAGATTTTGGGGAAAACTATTGAAATTAAACAGACTGTACAAGCTGAAGGGGTTGGGGGCAGGAGTGCTGGAGAGAGCAGGCATGTGACATTGTTGGCCTATCAACTGTTGACAGTTTAGAGGAATGCAGCACACAGGCTAATTTGGTTTTGTAGCTACTTTTATTTCTAAATCTTTTGCACTTGTGTTTTAGTTGCCAGTCAAAATTTATACATTACATAAGAGCAGCATGATTAACTTTTAACTTTACGGTCTCCAGAATGGTATGTTAACCAATCTTCTAACAACAGGAGTTCAAAATCAACTCTAGTCCTGACAACAAGAGCAGTGTGCTTTCAAGTAGGGACAATGGGAGAAAGCTTCTGTAATTCAGATACTGTCCCCTGGCTTGTGTCTTGATATCATTAGAGAAATTAACACTACCACAAACAACATACAAAACTTAAGTCTCAAGTAAAGCCTAAAGAGCGAACAGCATAAGAATATTTTATAATATTTAGATAGAAAAGTCAGCATTAGATAGAAAACTCAGCATTTTAGCAGTTGAGTAATTGCAAGAGCCTATTTTTAAAGAAGGTGTTGTTTCCAACATATAAAAACCTCAACCCCACAATGCCTTTTAGTACACTTCTCACCCCATCTCTGGTTAGACAGCATGGCATTATTGCAAACACCCTGTGCCCTGCTTTTTCTAGACACGGATCCAATGTGCCAGCACAGAAAAGACCATCAGTTGCCTTGGGCAACATTCATGTATTAATAAAACAGAGAAAACAAAGATAGCTCAGACTCTGATCTCCATTCAGTTATAATCTCCATTCAGTTAGTATGTTCTAATTCAGTCTTCTCAATTACTATACATCAGCTGTAGTTTTATTTCTGATTTTCCAGACACTGAGAATTCATGTGATTCTGTAGCCAACAAAAAGCCTGTACAGTATTGCAAATGCTTCCCCAGTCGTCCTGAGAAATTTTCTTATCAATTGAAGGAGGACACTAACTAGACCTGCCAGTTTTGAAAGTAACTAAAACCACAGACGTTCCAAGACAGCAACTCACTGCCAGCTGCTTGGAACTCTGAGCATGCAGAGGGAGCCAATTAGGAGTATGTCTACACTGCAATTAGATACCCGTGGTTGGCCTGTGCCATCTGGCTCAAGCTAAGGGGCGATTTACTTATGGTGTCAATATTTGGGCTTGGACTGCAGCCTGAGCTCTGGGATCCTCCCCACCTTGCAGGGTCCTGGAGTCTGGGCTCCAGCCCAAGCCCAAATGTCTACACTGCAATTCAACAGCCCCTAAGCCCAAGTCAGCTGGCACTGGCCAATCATAGGTTTTTAATTGCAGTGTAGACATAGGAGAGCAGCTGTACAGCTGTCCTACCAACCACACCCATCCCTACTTCCATGCACCCTCTGGAGAATTCCTGCCTCTCCAAGTAAGCTATCTGTGTGGAGAGGCAAGTTTATGCATCAGCAATGTAGCACCAGCAGCTGAGAGCTACTACTGCAGCTCCCACGGGTCAGGTTCCATTCCTGCACTGCATTCTTGCCCTTCTTTTAATTTTTTATACATGCAGCCCCACCAAGCTAAGAGAGGGCAGAGTGAAGCTGAAGGTGAAAGCGGTATGCCCTCTATCCAACATCAGGAGACAGGTACCTATAAAGTGGGAGCAGCAGGCAAGATGAGAATAGAGACAAAGGGTAACATTTTCAAAAGCACCTAAAGACACTTCTGAAAAATGGGACTTAAACCCTTTTGAAAATTTTACTCAAACGTTTATTAAGAACCTGAGAATGGCCATACTGAGTCAGAACAAAGGTCCATCTGGCCGAGTATCTTGTTTTCCGACAGTGGCCGGTGACAGATGCTTCAAAGGGAACGAATGGAACAGGGCAATTTATTGAGTGATTCATCCCATTATCCAGTTTCAGCTTCCAGCAGACAGAGGTTTAGGAACACTCAGAGCATGGGGTTGCACCCCAGATCATCTTGGCTAGTAGCCATTCTTGGACCTATCCTCTGTGAGCTCATCGAATACTTTTTTTGAACCCAGTTTTATTTTTGGCCTTCATGTCATCCCCTGGAAATTAGTTCCGCGGGTTGACTGAGCAATGTGTGAAGAAGTACTTCCTTATGTTTAAAACCTGCTGTCTATACAGTTAATTGGGTGATCCCTGGTTCTTATGTTATGAGAAGGGGTAAATAACACTGCCTTATTTACTTTCTTCACACACATGATTTTTATAGCCATCTATCATACCCACCTCTCAAGTCATCTCTTTTCTAAACTGACTAGTCCTAATCTTTTTTAATTTCTCCTTGTATGGAAGCTGTACCATGCCCCTAATAATTTTTGTTGCCTTCTCTGTAACTTTTCCAGTTCTAATATATCTTTTTGAGATGGGACAACCAGAACTGCGTGCAGTATTCAAGTTGTGAACGTACTATGAATTTATAGAATAGCATTACGATATTTTCTGTCTTATTATCTGTTTGTCCCTTTCCTATTGGTTCCTAACATACTTTTAAGGCTTTTTGACTGCTGCTGCACATTTAACAGATGTTTTCATAGAACTATTAAGAAAGAGATCTTGGAGTCATTCTGAAGTGGCTACAGCTAATTTATAACCAATCATTTTGTATATATAGCTGTGACTTCCCTCCTCCCCATGAGCATTACTTTGCAGTTATTATCAACACTGAATTTCATCTGCCATTTTGTTGACAAGTCACTTGGTTTAGTGAGATCCCTTTGGAACTCTTCACAGTCAGTTCTGGACTTCCCTATCTTGACTAACTTTGTGTCATCTACTAACTTTGCCACCTCTCTGATTACCCGCTTTTCTTAATTTGCAATTACCTCCTTAACTAATAGGGAGGAATGGTTTGTGCCCTTTTCTTCTGCCATTGACAATTTGACTGCAATACTCATATACCAGACAAGAGGCTGCCTCTTACCTATCTCTGCTTTTCAGCCCAATTGGCACTAGTTGTTTCCTAGTTAGCGGATGCTGCTAAGCAACAGGGAAGCTCAAGCACTAGGTTAGTGTGATTACAAGAGGACACCAGCGATTTTTAAAAAAGAAATAAGTCACCTCTCCATTAGAGGAAGGCAGAGAGATACAACAAATACATGACATTTAGAATTTGAAGCCAGATTATAACCACTTTAAAACTAGGTCAACATTAGGCCCATTTTGAGCCTTGGTAAGTTGACGAAGCCCCTTCAAGCACTGAAAGCGTTGTACTTACATTTACTTTTAATAACTTGCTGTTCAGAGATGAATTTTCCAATAGTTTTCTCTTCCTATGTCTGTCTGCTGTAAAAGCTGAACTATAGTAAAGGAATAAATTAGTTAAAACATGTTATTTATTATAAAAAACAATATAAAATGGACAAAGTGAGTGTGCATTCTCTTAATGTCTAACAGTTACACATCAGATCATTAACATTCAAGAGCAGAAAGGCCTTCCCCAGTTTCAACGTATGCTTTTATAGAGGTACAATAGACATTTAATATTTGTCTTAAAATAGAAAAGATACAAGCTCTTCTTTTAATAGTGTCTAATACAGGGGTTCTCAAACTGGGGTTCGGGACCCCCCAGGGGGTCGCGACGTTATTACATGGGGGGTCGTGAGCTGTCAGCCTCCACCCCAAACCCCGCTTTGCTTCCAGCATTTATAATGGTGTTAAATTAAAACCACTTTTTTATATATTTATAAGAGGGGGTTCACACACAGAGGCTTGCTATGTGAAAGGGGTCACCAGTACAAAAGTTTGAGACCCACTGGTCTAGTATCTGAATTAATGTAATTATGTTATGCTATAGTGAGTACCCTGAAGCATGTCCTAATTATCTTGCAACTTCTGATCTGAAAACATACTTCATATTTTTTTAATCAAAGGGACACTTCATATTGAATTTCTCCAGTGGCACTTCTTGTCTTCCGAAGTGTCTCTCCAGAGCTTTAGAAAGACACTTTAAAATAAGTGCAGAGCCAAACAATTTAAGGCAGAAAACAACTTGAGCCATAAGCTTTGCAGTTTCTCTCAGACAAACACTAACAATATTATATCAAAAAAGTCCATTCTTAGAAAATTATTTGGTGTAATGCACTAAGGGCTTCATATGTTGCTAATCAATGACAGTCACTTACACTAAACATACTTTTATAGCCTTTAAGATAAGCTTTTAGAAGACAAAGTGCCCAAGTAAGAAGTGAACTGTCTTACATTATTCAAAACAGCTGGAAACCTGTAAGAAGCACAAAATAAACTGTTGAGATGCTACTGGTTCATGAGAAATTATGCAGTGCACCACTGCAGTGTGATCTAATGTATCTAGATCCTCCACTGCTGTGTGCAAAATATATCAGTGTTTGTCAGGCCAGGGTGAGGGGAGACTCCCAAACAACAAGTTCCTTCATAGAAATGTGCATCATAGGATAACAGTGTTCCTCCAAGAGTGCTCTGGCACCAGCCAAGAGGCAAAATCTAAAATATAAAAAACCTAAAGACAAGTAGCATGCTATAGCAACGTTCTTCAATATTTCCTTTGCCATTTCAAGTCTATAGTTTAAATACTTTTGACCATGAAGTCACTGCAATGGGCTTTCACCTTGGGATATGGCTACTAGCCATGAGTTGGCCTTGACAGTGACAACCTTCACCTCTGAAAAGCTAAGTTGCAGATTTTCTCCAAGGCTTCCCTAAATATTAAATACATCCCTCATCCACATGTTGTACACTTGTTATCAACCCAGCAAATAATGGAATGAAAAACAATGAGTGTTAGTATTTCCTAGCCGCATTCAAATGAGACAGCAGATGGAAGTGGAGAGGGTCTCAGATTAGGACAATGCCAAATGGGAGATTCTGATGCCAAAGTGACACATTTAGCGTACCAGTATCAGAAGATTTTCCAACATCACAGCCACTTGTTAGTGGTGTTGGTGTCTGAACTCTGGGGCAGCCAAACAATATTTGGAAGAACCTTTGTGTGCCTAGACTTCCACAAGATATTTTGCAAAGTTTCCAAGTAAATTATGAAAGCCCTAATATTTTGCTCTCCTGAACTGGCTGCAGCATGTGCATGATAAAGATTATAATATTTCTCAGTAGAAGAGACCTAGATAAGTCACAATAAAGCACTGCTCTTCTGTAACTCAGTATACAATTATTATAAGTTCATGAGCTTTCCTCATCTTCAGATGTTCAGAAACCAGGCCACGCAGTTAACATTTATCAGGATATTTCCCCCTTCCATTTCCACTTTAAGTGCTCTGCTCCAGCAACCAAATCTTAATTTTGGGAACCCATGCCTGCTTCTTGGCAAGACGTTTCCCAAGATATTCTTGACAAGGACTGAATGACTCAGTCAGCACATAGACCAGGGGTTCTCAAACTGGGGGTCAGGATCCCTCAGGGGGTCGTGTGGTTATTACATGGGGGGTCGTGAGCTGTCAGACTCCACCCCAAACCCCGCTTTGCATCCAGCATTTATAATGGGCTTAAATATATAAAAAAGTGTTTTTTAATTTATAAGGGGGGGGGGTCACGCTCAGAGGCTTGCTATGTGAAAGGAGTCACCAGTAAAAAAGTTTGAGAACTTCTGACATAGACAAAGCTACTTGTTAATTGCATTTCCATGAGTTTCAATGTAGAAGTCATCCCAACCCCGTAATCCTGGTATCTCTTTTAGATGATGAAAAGGCTTGTACAAGGACAATGTACAAAAAGAAAATCCATTCAAATTAAACAATATCCAAGTCCACTCAGAGCGGGGAGGGGAGTGGTAAGCAGGTTACTTACTTTTCCAAGTTCTGTAGGTGCTCCCTGACTTTCTGTACCAGGCCCAGCTTGGTATCATTGACTACAAAATCATCACAGCGATAACTGCAAGAAAAACAATCAGCAAGTGTAAAGGGTTTCAGTGACACATAGCACTTCAAAGCCTGGATATAGCAGATGAGCTCACATGACTATGGGAGCAAGTACTGGAGGCAATAGGTATTTAGGGTAAGAGTTTTGAGAAGTGGGTTAAAGAGTTTTGAGAAGTTTGAGGAGCCGCAGGCGCACTAGCTCACTATCCGTCCACACTGGCAAGGCACGTAGAGTGCTCTGGCTAGAGCACTCCTGGTACTCCACATTGGCGAGTAGAATAACGTTTGATGCACCCCCGCTGGAGCGCCCCAGCGTCAGTGTGAACGAAGTGTTGGGTTATTGCGCTCTGATCAGCCTCCGGAAATGTCCCATAATCCCCTTAAGTCAAGTGGCCACTCTTGTCATTGTTTTTGATATGCTCTTTGAAAGCTCCATTTGACATCCAGCATGCTTATCTCCTCCGAGACAAAGCAACCATTACCGTGGAATGCTGTGGGGGGAGGAGAGGTCTGCTGCTGTCTGAACTTACAAGACAGCATGCTGACATGCTCTCAGCCCCTCAAAAAACCCACTCTCCCCCCCTACACACATACATACAACACACTCCCTGTCACACTCCACCCCACCCCTCCATTTGAAAAGCATGTGGCAGCCACTTGCATGCTGGGATAGCTAACACAATGCACTGCTCTCTGTGGCCGTTGCAAGAGCTGCTAATGTGGCCATGCCAGCATAGGCGGCGAGTTATATGGGCCCATGGTGTGCATGTTCCATCAATATTCCTGAAGGTGGGGCCAGCTCCACCAATGTTTGGGCCCCAGGCCCCGTGCTTTGGGGTGCTCTCACCTTGGGGGCAGCTCCCCCCTTCCCCGGAGCCCCTGCATGCTGCGGAGAGTCCGTCCCTCCGACCCCCCCGACCCGGCTCACAGTCCATTGGCCAGGAACCCCAGCCAATGGGAGCTGCAGGGGGTGGTGCCAGAGCTGCCTGGTTGCGCCTCCACAGCAGGGAGGGGCAGAGAGCGAGCAGCAGGAGTCTGTCCCTGTCAGACAGACACAGACACAGCCGGTGAGCTGGGAGGTTGTGGGGACAGACAGACACAAGGACATAGCCGGGGGGTTGTGGGGACACACAGATGGAGCCGTGGGCGGGGAAAAAGGAGCAGCGATGGGCACCCCAGGGCTGGCATAAAATACACAGGACAGAGGGAGCTTCCTGAGGGGGCTATAGCAAACCACCTCTCCCCCGCCCGCCTCCGCAGCACAGACCCAGGCTGCAGCTGGCTCCGTCCATCACTCCCCCCAGCCCCACAGAGACCCACACAACCCTCTGCCCCCCCCCGAGAAACCCCCAATGGCCCGTGACCCCTCTCCAGAGAGCCCCCCTTTGTGCCAGACAACTCCCCTCCCCCACTGTCTCCCCTGCTCCAGAGCTCCCTACAATCTCCCCCTTTGCCTTCCCCCTCCCCCCCCAGCCCATTGGCCGGGGGGGGCTCCCAACCTATTGGCCAGCACAACCAATGGGAGCTGCACCTGAGGCAGGGCGCCTGCTTGCAGATGCAGACCTGCCTGGCTGTGCCTCCACAGCATGGGGCAGGGGAGCCACAGGTGAGCAAGCCCCGGTCATCATGATCACAGGCACAGCAATTCTCTGGATATTTAATTTCACTGAGGCAAGTAATTCAATCTACTCTTCCTTTCCAGACAGTTTGTGGCTTTTCCTGTAAGAACTCTTACAATTTCTTTGCAAAGAAGTCCATTTGTAGTTTTTTCACTTGAGAAGTATATTTTCTGCTTGTTCATAAGCTCATTTATTTTGTTAACTCGGTTTTATAGGTAATATAAAAAGTCACTTGAATTATACCTATTTTTTTCCATTGGTCCAAAAACACATGGAAGATGTGCAGATTTTTATTTCTGTGGGCCAAACCACCCTGTGTAGAAATATAAATGTCGGAGACAGAAAAGCTCTTTAAGGGTAAAGGTCCCTTCAGGAAATTGTCCTCAAGTCATTCATTCTTCTGGGCATTCCATTCTATTGTTCCTTCCTATAGTGATACAGGTCTGTCGCATCTTACGCGCATTTAACATGTGCGATTTCAGCTTTCCGCGGTCGGCAAAAACAAAAAACAAAATCAAAAGAAAGAAAAATAACAATTTTAATACTGTACCTGTAGTGACGGCGATTCCGCCCGCCATTGAACTCAATGTAATTTTGACTATACGCAGTTTTCGCTTTACGCGCTGACCGCGGAACGTAACCCCAGCGTAAGATGAGAGACCTGTAATGATCAGTGTTTCCACCCACAGGTGAGAGGCAGAAGACTGGGTCAACCCTGCAGTGACTCTGCCTCTACTCTTGTTCTCTGTCTGCTCCCTCTACCAGCCCCTTTGGTCTCCCTAAGATTGCCCCTATGATTACTCCCTCTGGGTCTTCTTTCTCTGGAGCTTCTCATGAAGTAAAGTCTGTCATTACAGGCTCTTATCTCTGTAATGTATTTATTTTTGATGTATTTATTAAGTGTTAATTAATGCCCTGTGGGAGTCCCCTTCAGCCCTCTGTATAAATTGATCCTCTTTTTTCCATATGTTTTGCCCGTAGAGTTTTCTGCAGCCCTAGGGCAACCAGCAGTAACCCCTGTGCCTTTGCAATGGGGTGAGGGAAGCAGACCATGGGTTCCCTATTTATGTGATTTGCAAGAAGGGTTATCATTCCTCAAGGTACCAAATGTGTTTAAATGATACAAGTGCCTTGTAAAATCCCAAAGCAAGCTCATTTTCATTTCTCATGTAATAATCTCATATACAGTATACACACATTTTTCATTAATTATATGAGTTGAATTTATTATTAATTATTATTACTATTATTATTATTAGCTAGGTTACTGTTTTTTTTTTCAATGTAGCAAAAAGTGTGCTATTTTATGGGTTGAATGATTGAATGACATAATTACCCCCCCCCCCAATGTCCGCCACTAAGTCCGGTAATTTTGTCAAGTGTTCGTCGCACAGCATGCTGGTGCCTACCCCTGCCTTGTGCTTCAGGGGGTCACGGGATCCAGGGCGGCCTGGGGACTTAGAGGGGGGCCTGGCGCTGGCAGCAGCGAGTGACCTGGCTCCAGGCCACTCCACTCCACCTCGTTGGCTCCCGGCATTGCTTGGGGCGGGGGGCTTTGGGGAAGAGGGAGTTGGGGCGGGGTGAGAAGAGGCGGGGCAGAGCAGGGTTGCTCGCTGCTGTCGGCACCAGGCACCCTGCTAACTCCCCAGGCCACCCTGGAGCCCACATCCCCCTGAAGCGCAGGGCCCCCCAAAGTGCGGGGCCCGGGGCGGTTGCCCCGGTCCGTCCTATGGATGGGACGGATCCACTTGGGCAGCACCAAAAATTATACAAACCTGCCGCCCATGCACGCCAGTGCACTGGCAGCCGGCAGTGTGGACAGACTGCAGTGCTTTCCCTACTGCGCTCTAGGAAGGCTGGTTTAACTCAAAGCGCTCTACATCGGCAAGTGTAGCCATGCCCTAAATTTCCAAGTCCTGGTCCAGTGCCTGAACCACAAGCTCATCCAATAGGTTTTTGTAAGATGTATTTCCACTACAAGTTATTTGTCTAAGAAGGTTTTATGTATGCGCTGTACAATGGGAGCGAACAGCATGGAAATGTTTAGAAATCAAGTAAGCATTTGGAAGCTGTCAGGAGAAGCAGCAGCAGGGAGACTGCTATTAACAGAAACCATTAACTGTGTTGTGTAAAGAAAGAGCCTGATTCCCCAACTGCCTTCATACCTCATGCAAAGTGAGCATAAAATTCTATCAAATCAAAATGGCAGCATTTTCACCCCCTCTGCAGAACTGACATTACACAAGTCGCATGGTAGTGAGAATCAGGCCCCACGGCATTTGTAACACAGCTAATGAACAAATGCTAACAGAATCCTTACAACATAGAACAACTTCAACGCATGTTTCACAGCAGTCTACATCTTCATCCAAGGGGAAGAATCTCTTAATGAGGGCAGATAGCTCATGCTGCTTTCCTGATTAAGCAGAGTCCACTATCAAAATCTACACTTCTGGAGAAGCTATATTCCACACCCACGGAACAGCTCGCTATACTTTAAACCTGTAATTTGACATGCAGTTAAGATTACGAGCTTCCCAATACTGTGCATCAAAACAACTGCAAGATCCACTCTCAGGCAGCTCAAGCTTTCCAAAGGTCTCCCCTGAAAGAACTCTTCATTGCAAGAGTCTGCTCTAAGAAAATACACCAGCTGTAACTAGTGAGAACAATTCTACAGCATGCAATATTGGTGTTCACAGTTACTAGGTCTACAATAGCGAAGCTGACAATGATAGGAAATGGAGCTGCCTTAGAAGAGGTCTAGAAAGGATGAACCAGAACCAGAGAGGAATCCTGCACACATGAGGAGGGGAGGAGAAACGTCATCGTTGTTTAACGTTTCTATTGCAGTATTGCTGAGGCCTCACCCAGATTACGGTCCACTGTTTAGGCACCGTATAAACATGTAGTGACAGTCACATCAAGAATTTTGCAGCAAATTCTTTAAAGATACATGCACAGCTAGCAGCCTCTTTCTAAAGGGAGACTAGGCCTTCAGGGAATGCTTGCAAAAACCGTCTGAAAAATACACGCTCCACTCTGTCTTTTGTCTTGAGGTACAAGTAAATGTGCACGCACATTTGGGGAGGAGGAGAGGAAGATGGGAAAAAAGATTTATGTCCCACGGAGAAGACTGCTTCAAGAGGATATCCCCGACTGCTCTCAGCCAAGCCTTTCATATTCCCCTCCCATATATGCACACAGAACAAAGGAGACAAACCTTCCCCTCCATGAGTTTGATGCAGAACCACTCAGCTGCATCCCCTTTGCTGCTTGTTGGGCCAGTGACGATGCAAGTAGGGAAGGGGTGTCGCTTCAAAAAGATGCAGCAGCCAGGGATCTGAGAGAAACCCAGACACCAGCCCTGAACAACCCCCAGCCACGTGGAGGTTGAGCCAGGCTGTATTTCAGCCCCCAACACCACCTCTGAGCAATGGAAGCAGAGTCAGTGCAGATGCAATGCTACTTTGAGCCACCAGAATGCAAGGACTGCACCCTGATGCTTCCCATAGGAGAACCAGTACAGTACAGGGGCCGGAGGGAAGAAAGGGGCAAGGTGCATTCTAACTGCCCTATGTAGATCCCATTGACACATGCCAGAAGGTTCCTAGTGCACATTAGTATATTACTGAATCAGACGAGACTACATGGACGCATGCTAGCTTTTAGAGTGTGTCAGCAGGGTCTACACAGGGCATTTAGAGCACTCTACAGTTTACAACCCTCTGGCATGCACTGCCACCCCTGTACACTAGCCCTTAGTTACTCAATGAAAATGCACCCATCATTTTATCTCCTATGCAGAGCTTAAGGAAGAGCACTTTCTATATTTTAAATTTATTTCCTTGTGTCTGTTACAGCTGTCCCCCTGCTGGATTTGAGTGGCCGCGGCCCGCCATGGAACTGACCAAAGTCACAGCCTGGCCCTGCTCATGGAAATGGCTTGTGCAGACTGACTGGAGCCATTGCTCTGCTCCGGGGGGGGGGGGGGGTTGGCCCGGGAAACAGCTTTAAGGGGGGGGGGGGGGTTTAACTCGGGGGGGGGGCCCCCGCGGTTTTTTCCACCCGGAAAGGGGGCGGGGGGGCGA